ATGTGTTTGTTGCTTTATACTGCTGCTCTGACTCCTGTGGCTCTGGTCATTCAATTGTTTGTGTGTTTAACTTGTTTACATTAAAATATTTAACCTTGTTTATTAACCCGACCGTGTAACACACTAGGCCCAGGTTTAATGTTGGCACCTTCCTAATATTAAACATAATGCTCAGACTGAAAGACTGTGCATTTCTGTTACCAAGTGTTAAGAAACTATTTTTGATTACCTTTTGGAGTTTCACAGATTCAGACTTTTTTGGGGGTCTATGTGTAAAAAAATAATACACCAACTTTATACCATTCTTTACACTATTTATACAATTCTTTAAATGTTTATTTATTTATTTTTTTTTTGGATAAAATTGCGTTGAAAGGGCAGTTTTAAATCCCCCCGTTATAAAGAACAAAAACATCATGATCTAGTGTTGGGTTCAAGCCATTTACTAATGGTTCACTGGCAAAAAGGTGAACTGTCAGTCACAGTATTTACAGCCTGTTTCTCCAGTTTCACAAAAAACACAATCATTCAAGGTCCTGTGTTCTTTTGAAGTGCTCAGCCAGAGAAATATTGTTTTGAAAGAATAAGTGTGAAAGTTTTAGCTCATGCTTTACTGCTTATGGTGTTATTTCTATGAATAATTGAGAAACAGAACCAAATGTAAGAAAGCTTATTCTGTTGATAAAATGTGGGAATTTGTGTACGAAACAAGAGGAAAAGACCTCTCAATAAATACAAACCTTATTTCAGCCCCCTAAGTACTGGATGATATTACACACTAGACCCTGGTGTTCTAGGCTTTAGGGAAAACTTTTATAATTGTGTTTAACATTGAATGTAGTTTCAGTAAATGTGTTATTTTTATGTCTTCATTCCAGCTATTTTTGATAGTTGTCGTGATGCATATTGTATCATGGACAATATTGTGATGTCTACTGTATCGTGAACACTGTGTATCATTTTACCACTGAAGTTTAAGCCATGTTTGAAAAGACAAATTTCCCGAAAAACACTGTATTATATGGAACATGCTAACAAAATTCTAAATAAATGTTAGCTCTATTGATAAGCAAGTGTTTTACATTGTTCCGAGTAACATTTCAAAGTCTGTCTGCTCATGATTGTGTACTCTAACCAACTTGTTCTATTACTTCTTCACTCTGAACATCAGCATTTATTTTTGCTAATTACTCCCACTCTGAGCAAAGGGACAAAAATTTGAAGCCACATATGGGGAGGATTGTGTAATCGATGGTCGTTGCTTTCTCCTTTTTGTCAAGTGGACGAACTGGCCTGGGAGGATGTGAGACTCTATGTTCCTGTTTTGCTGATAGCTGCTAACTTTGGTTTCTATGTCGCTTTTCACCCTGCATTTGTGTCAGTAATTACCCGAACTCTCTTTCAACCCGAGGGTGGAATTTTTTTATATCATTACATTTCTTTTATAGTGAAGCACAATCAAATGATCAGCAACTAAACCCGGATGTCTTATTGAGCTGCTGCTATTTCTGGAAGTGTGAGATGCTGTTGGTATCAGATGTCTAATATTGACCCAGTAATACAATAAGCTATTAGCAGTTTTGTGTGTGCAAATGATGCATCATGAGGTTTTGCCGTTCCAGGCACCAAGAAACTTGTGGGTGAAGTGATATTGACTTTTCTGTTCTTGTAGTCTCTGTGTGGTTTCATTCTGCCTATGGCTTTCTGGGAATAGACTACATGTGTTTCTTTCTTTCATTCTTTTCTTACTCAAATGAGGGTTTTTTTTCCAGAACTGTTTATCAAAAAGTAGTGCATTTAGTAGCAGCTGGTTGACATTTCCTTGCAATCAACATAATTAATACCTTGCTATTAAGCAAAACTATACACAAATCAGAACTTTCAACAGTGTAAATGTAACTTTCAATATGTCACATGCAAACACTGTTAAGCTTCACAAGGACACCCTCTTTGCATGAACACCAGAGTACAGACTTGGCCTGGCTCATGTAAAATATGGAAATCCAGTCCAAACCCAACACCAGAAAGATTGAGCTCTAGGATGCAGACGAAGTATTTTAAATTCTATTTAAAGTATATTTAAATATTTAAATAAAGTATATTTAAATTTTTTAAATTTCACCACTTACCCAAACCATGTTAGTATCGCAAGGATTCTCACAATTTGAGGGATAATGACGAATATCCGTAATTGGAGGCACAGAAAGATGATTAGCAAGTGCGGATAGGCACCTACCGAACTTTGTTAGATATACAACTTGAGATGCATTAAAGTCTAGCAGTAAAGATTAAGTTTTTACTTGTGTTACCTTTTGTTTATGCGCTATTTCTGGAGTTATTCAACAAAATGCCCATTGCTAATATTACAATTGATATTTAACTCTATTCGGAGTGAATTTGGTCCCTCTATTAAAAGAACAAATGTTACTCTGAGCGTTTTCATGTGTAAGTAGATAGAGCCAGACCTGATATTGATTGCTATTTGGCAGTTGGGAGTGTGAGGTTTTTATCATGATTTTGAAGTGGTAATGTTCTACAAAAACAGATAATTGGGCGAGTACAGAACATCTAAGCACTTATCTAACAATAATGAGTAGAGTATACCTAACAATAATTGATACAGTAAATCTAACAATAAAGATGCCAGAGGAACGCTGATGGAAAAGGTTGAGTTATGAGCAGGGAAGATGTATCGGTCTTATTTAACAATGTCTCCTGCATGACGATACTTTATTTCTTATATTTGTTGAACAAAGTGCATTGAAAAGAGCTAATTAAGTCATTTTTATTATGATTAACCTTTATATGACTTCAGGCATGTGCTGCTCAGAAATGTGTAACAGACTTTCAGTGTTTGTGTGGAGTAGTGACAGAAGGCAGTGAAAAGAAATAAAAGTGAAGGAAATAAGATGAAATCTGGGGGAAGTGTTGAAGACATCAATGAAGGGTGTGTTCACAGTTAAATCTTGATGGAAAGTGCTGAGTTCATCCTAGCTGAGTATATAGACTCTAAAAACACATGTTCAGAACTGTTCACAATATGTTTAGAATAGGAACATTGACAGTTTATAAAGTAGGTTAATAGAAGAAAATGGGAAATGATATTTCAGTAATATTCTTTCTTGCAGTTCAAGGTTTTTAAATAGGAGAAAAACTACATATTTGTCACCCAAAAAGAGATGTTTTTTAAAGTGGGGGGAAGAGCAAAATGCCTCTTTCGCACAAGCTATTTTGATACTTTTGAGCACAATTTAAGCTTAATTTTTCATTAAACTTACTCAGTTAGTTAAGGTCCTCTTGGCTTGTTTGGAGCTACTGATGTGTGTTAAATCTGGTTGGGACTAAGAACCGGACAGATAGGTGGCACTCCCAGAACAGGGTTGTCTACCACTGCTTTAGGGTTTTTTTTAACTTAAAGATGTCAATGGCATTTTTAAACAACACCTATTTATGTTATTAAAATGGTACCGTACCAGTTTCTGGCCCTTTAAATGATTACTGTAATGTTTGCCATTACACCCAACAGCAGCACAACACCTTCTCTTGGCAGATGTAATAGTCTGCTCTACTCGAAGTGGAAAGAAAAAAATAGACCTCCATGAGATGACTCACTGGGAGTGGGTGGATGCTGTCAATGTGCCGATGATGGGGGGGCTTCTCAAATTAACTCAATAGGGTGGGCTCTCTGAGAATGACTTGTTTTTATTAAGAGCTTTTATTTAAACTATTTTTTATTACTGGGCAGATCTCTTTTCAAATGTCTTGACAATGGATCGGAGGTAACCATTAATGTTTCAAAAGCTTTAGTTGAAAGTGTTTTTTAGTTAAAAAAAATTTGGTTACATTGTCCATATTTGTGCAAGTGCGTTCATTTCTACCGTAACAAGAGTTCATTCCTCTGATTGTGGCACCATTTGTTTCCAATCATCTACAAATGACTTGTTTGGATTCCTCTACAGTCTGACCATTTTACAGTTGAGTCACTGATCTTATAACAGGATAAAACTTAAACAAATAAATAGAGTGACAAACCCCGCAAAGGAACAACATGGATTTTAGCCCACTGTTAAGAGTTTAATCAGGAAAAACCTCTTTCTTCTTTATTGTGGAAAGCTTTCTCAAGATTTGCAACACAATGCTTATGGTGTGTTTCTTTTAAAAAGAATGGTTCTGTTGTGATTTTGGTGTGAAAACCAACTTTCAGAGTCATGGTTCAAAGAAGGCATTAGTTAACCATATTTTAAGGGATCTAATGATCTCCTTCTCATATTCTTGGCCAGATTTATCTCCAAAAGAATAGACTCTGTGTTTTGAGTGTGTAAAGCTTGGGTGGTAAATTCAAACGTTCTTTAACAGCTGAGTCCAACTGGCTGCTTGCTCTTGAATATCAGTCTGGTTATGATTTGCGACCACCGGGTGAATACCATTAGGTAGGCCTTAGGGACATGTAGGGGAATGTTGTGGGGTGTTGTGACAGCAACTGATCAGATCCAGAGATGCTGGTGCTATAGGTGGCACTTTATTAACCTGCCTGCTATTAATCTTTTGGAACGTTAGTGATGCTTGGTATAAATGGAGTTTGCTAAAATAGTGCAGCTGTAGCACGTAATGAAGTTGTAATCAATGTAGAACCATTGCCGATTTGGAGGGTTAAATAATTCTCATTGGTTCATAAAGTTCATTGCTTTTTTTAAAATGAAATTGTAAACTCGTTCTATTTTTGAAATGTTTGAATAGATTTGAATAAATTGCTTATGGTAAAATATCCTCCAAAAAACACCCCATTATATCAACTTTAGTACTACTAAAGAAGTTTTGATTAAAGAAACTTTATTTTTAAAGTTAGCCTTAGAAAATGTATTTTTTACAAATATTTTATAATTTTGTTTGCCAATGTTTTTTTTTTTACTATTTGCTTAATTTTAATTCCTCACAAGCTTTTCTAATAGTAATGTGCATAAACTAAATGTTGCATCTGCTATGGAAGAAATGACGTAGCTGGTTTCCTGTGGCTCAGTTGGTAGAGCATTGGTAGAGTAAACAACGGAAAGGTCGTGGGTTCATATCCCAGGGAAAGCAGGAAGTGACAAAATAAAATGTGTTCGCTCATTCAAATGTACGTCGCTTTGGATAAAATAGTACTTACAGAAAGCAGAACAAAAGAATGAACGTTTAAAACTAAATTTAAAGGCTAGTTTGATTAAGCAACAACATATCATGCGTCCAAACATGCTTTATAATTTCCCCTCTTATGACATTTGAGGAAGTTGATTTTTTTTTTTCTGCAAGTGCTTGGCATATTCAAATGTTAATGCAGGAGCTAGGCAAATGTTATGCCAAAATGTAATCACTGCTGTTACTGGAAATGTTAAAACTGTTGGAATGAGAGACATACATCTGTATGATGTACAGTAGTTTTGAATATGAAAGGGGATTTCAATTCAGCAAATAAAATAAGCTTTAAAAACCTTTAAAGCCCTTGGTTCTCAAGACCAGTAACTATCTGTTTTCCTTCTTTGTGTCGTTTTAATTCAAGCTGTTCTGTAACACACTGACATTCATCTCAATTCTCATTTATTTTATAATATTGTACATAAACATGTTCCAAAACCCTGGTCGTTCCGTTCTAAAATATGTGCTGAAATTTATTGGTTTATATTTTCCTTTGCAGATCTGTGGCTTTGTGAATGCTATCAGTCCATATGGGAATGATCGTCAGAACCTGATGGCTTTCCGATTCTCTGCATTCAACCCCATCTTGGACCCCTGGATCTTTATCATTTTCCGTAAGGCTGTATTCCACCACATCCGGGCATTGTTTCACTGCTGCTTCCATAGAGATGGAGTGAAGACCAAAATGCAGAGATCCCTGTCCCTCGCTGTGGAGGATGGAGATGTCAAAGATAGCCCAAGCATCCAGAGCAAGATCTACCACAGCCTCCCGCAGTGATTGCCTTTGAGGTCAAAATGACTTTAAACCCTGAAAAGACTTGATGAATGTGCCAGATGGTACCAAAAATAACATTTGCATACATGTATTTAAGAGGATGTTCGACAGGAATGACATTCTTGTGTAACAGGGTGTTGTGCATGTTCATCAGAGATTAAGAAGAAGGAATAATTTACATGAACTTACCAGCCTCAAGAGGCTGTTCTTGTTAGTGTGCTAAACTCTTTAGCTGGAAGCACTGGTTTGAATATAGCATGCAGAAATGAAAATTGGCATGGCTAAATTGGTGCCGTGACCCGCATGGTGAGAGCTTTACTCTGTGAGTTTTTCGAACTCAAAGTATGCTTGGGTTTCTCTTTGTTTAGATCAGGGGTGTCAAACTCAGTTCCTGGAGGGCCAACATAGTTTAGCTCCACCCTCAACTAAACACACCTGATGCTGCTCTTTAGATCCTTTAGGCTGTTTGTGAGCTTCAGGTCTGGGTCTCTCTGAGCAGGGTTGGAGTCAAACTCTGCAGGGCTCTGGCCCTCCAGGAACAAATACCGACACCCCTGACACAAACTTGATGTGCAAAGCCACCATTGATAACTGGCTAATCAACTTTAACCAAAGTTTCGCACTGACAGCATCATGAGGAAACCCATGCAACTTACCAGGGGCCTCATGCATCAATGTTGCCAACGCATCTGGTTACAGTGTACTAACATTGAAATGGGAATTAGCATTCTACATGCAAGCTTTATATGTGGCGTACACTTGTTTCTGTTGTTTAGGTGATAAAACAAGTTTATGTTCAGTTTATTGTATAAATTCTTGACCTGTAAATGCACTGTAGAATCTATCGAGTCATTCAGATGTACAGCTACATGTGATTGTCTGTAAAAAGGGTAAAAATACACTCTCTGATTTTATTGTGATTTTTGCCAGAGAATACATAGAGAATGCCACATAATAATCCCATTAAAAAGGTTTCAGGAACCCTTAATGTATAAAAATAATATAATTAGCTTCGCTCGCTCAAGGTACCATGAAGAAATGAGCACGACAGATCAGATAAACTCAGTATTCTTTGTCTCCTAATGCTTCAGCAGGTTACATCTTAGCAGTGTGTATAATAATGTAAATATTCAGCATGTTTACAATGTAAATAAGAATGCATGTGTGTGTGGTCAACGATTCATCCAGGAATGTATCATAGGTAAAAAGTTACTTTATTATGGTTGTTTGTCTAATCATAGACGCAGTATTATAAAGTGTAAAATATCTGTCAGATAACGCATATTTGATTGGAATGTTGCAGACCCCTTGATCACCACTAGGAGTTGGCTAATGTTACCTACCATTATGAAAAATACTCCAGTACCTCTAGAGGGGAGGATCACATGCAACAAACAATGGAAACTTTAAGTCTTTAATGTGTCTGAAAGTTTAAGTAAATAAGCCAATCTAGAAATGTCAAACCACTTCACATTGTAGCATGTTTTAACTGAAAATGAACAGTTTCTTATGAAGGGTCTGCTTGTGTTTTTGTATCCGATGCTCTGTTTTGGTGTGATTCAGTATTTTGCATGCATCTTTGCACAGGATTGTAAATGTATTGTTTTATATATATATATATATTATATATATATATATATATATATATATATATATATATATATATATATATATATATATATATATATATATATATATATATATATATATATATAGTGTGTGCTGTAATTGCAATAAAGAAAACAAGAAGTTACTCTTCATTTGAGAATTCAAACTGGACTTTGAAGTATGCATTGTTTTAAATCACAGTAATATTGTAGTGAAACGTGTATTTATAAATAATTTCTTACACCCAAAAAAAAATGAAAAATCATGTTTTTTTTATTTTTCTAACATCTTTCTGTCCCACAATCATGATTCTATGTGATCTCGTAGTGGCTAGAGCTGTAAGCACAGGTAGAATTTCAGGTTGGGATCTACATTCCTTAATGTTGAAATTGCTGATATTTAGAGACATGCTTATATTTAGAGATATGCTTATAAAGGCATCCCGTGGATCAAATTAGCAATATGAAGGGAATGATTAACAAGTAACTTGAACAACTTTATATTCTTAAATCATAATTTCACAATAAGTTTTAGATGCAGTTGAGGCAGTGTCTGAATGTTTACTTAGAGCTGCTTTTTGGAGGTTATGATCATGTGATGCTTCAATGAGAACTCAAAGGCTGACTTATGTGATGTTTGCCATTGCGTTCTGTAATGAAAAGCTGCTCCAGCAGGACTCAACAGATGGCCTGATGCTTACTCTCATTCATCACATGAATTGGCTCAGGTTTCACTGTGTACACACCTTTGAATTCAAATAATTGGAAATTAGACGGTGAAACAAAACACTAGGTAAATCAAATGCTCACCTTTCAGGAAACCTGTAATCTGATACACTTAATTCTGAAAAAAAATGTCTTTATCCATCCACCATCTTTAGCAACTTTTATTGTATGGAAGCATGGCAAAAAAACTGTTACCTTTATTGTCAAACCCACTCAAGCATAGAACATAAGCCAGCAAGTCCTTTAAGCAGATTTAATAAATCTTAACTAAAAATTTAATCTTTTTGAGTATAACTTAATTTGTTCTATAAATAATCAAGCTAAACGCGATAATTTTAAACAGTACAATAGTGGCCCCTTGACAAGGCATTGGCATGAGATTAAATAATGAACATGAAACAAACACACAAAAAAATGGTTTCGGAACCAATTACTGGTCAAAAAATGACTTGTGCCTTTGGCGGAAATGTACTATGGTGCCCTCCAAAATACACAGGATACAATTTCACTAAATTGTTATTTTTTTTCAGAATCAGAATCAGAATGAGCTTTATTGCCAGGTATGATCGCACATACAAGGAATGTGTTTTTGTGCAGAGACACTACAGCGCAACAGATTCACAAGACAAGACAAGACAAGATACAGGTAACAAAAATAAAATATAAATACAAATGTACAAAATAAACATTCTAAATGTACAAAAGGCCATTCTGACACTGTATATAAAAATAAAAAGTAGACATAAAATATAAAATCAAAAATGCACATTTAGTGCAAGAGAGAAAAAGCCAAGTTTAGGACATAAAATCAAAAATGTTACATTTTGAATTCTGAAAGTTTTCTGAAAACCTAGTAAAGTGATGCAGAGAGTTTTTGAATGCATCTATGAGAGAAAATGACAACTAGAACCTCAAAGGGTACCCAGCACAATGTGTACATTTTCAATAGTACATGTGTCCCCCCCCCCCCCCCCAATCCAAGCTCGGGATGGAATGTCAAAAACGCCAGAGTTAAATATTCATACATTTTGGATTCTGATAGTCAATAATATTTACTATAATGCCGTACTGGGTTTTAGAACGCTTCCATAAGAAAAAATGTGTAAAGACTTGCAACCTTAAGGCACAATTTAAACAAGTCATCTAAAGGTCTATTGGTTAATAGATTCCAAAATGGAAACGGGTAAATGACAATGAGTGACTCATATTTGTATAACTATATTTAAACATTTTGTAAAATGTAATATTACAATATGCATATAACATTATTGTTAAAAAATAAATATTACAACATTTTTATTAACTTTAATTTGTTGTGTGTGTGTGAGCAAACGGAGTAATGATGCCCCCCTCTGGCAGTGGTGCCCTACGCAGACTGCAGATTCTGCATCTAGTGAGCGGCGCTACTGGGACTGCTCCATCTTTTGCACATGCGCACTTAAAGGTGCATGATGTGAACAGGTGAGCTACGTGTCTGCGAGTGCATTCCTGCAGGTGCAGCACACAGTCTGCAATTAGGACTACTTAAGAACATTTGAATATGCAAACAAATGATATGTGAGGAATGTATTTTTATTATTATATTGTGGATAATGATATGAAATAACAAAATCCAAACACTGTGATGCCACAAAATGATTCTTAAAATAAAGATCTTGCATTTGTTTTTTTTTATAAAGAATCAAACAGCTACCTTCATTATCTCCTTCGTACTTAGCATCCTTTCAGATTTCCACAGAGTTGTGAGTCTGATGTCAAGCAGGGTTTTATGATTACAGCACTCCATGTGTTTAATTGGA